CAGCAGGTGCAGTGGGCCATGATGTAATCCCAGCAGGTGCAGTGGGCTATGATGTAATCCCAGCAGGTGCAGTGGGCTATGATGTAATCCCAGCAGGTGCAGTGGGCTATGATGTAATCCCAGCATTTGGGAGGTAAGAGCAAGATCAAGAGTTTAAGATTGCACTTTGCTACAGACCATTTTTGAGGTCAACCTCAAATGATATTTAAATTTTTTAGTTCAATTAAACTAGACCTTATAAGACTTAAAAATGTTTGGCTCTGGGTGACTAGATGACAGGAGGGATGGCTCAGTGGTTAGGTCTGTTTACTGCTCTTGCCGAGAATGCAGGTCCAGTTCCCACATCCACACCAGGTGGCTTACAACCACTTGTAACTCCAGGTCTAGGAGATGAACACCTTTTTGGCCTCTTCTATCCCCTGCACACTCTTGGTGCACATAAAATCATTCAGACACACACAAATACACATAAAAAATAAATATAATCTTTAAAAATAAATAAATAAATCTTAAAAAAAAAAAGCTCTGCCAGCCATGATCACCATATCTAGAATCCCAGCACTTAGGAGGCTGAGGAGGGAGGTTTGTTACCAGTTCAAGGCCAGCATGGGCTACACAGGGAAACCCTGTCTCCCAAAAAAGATTTGCCTATGAAAATGCAAAAGAAAAAGATGAAAAGAAAGCCACAGAGTGGGAGAAATATGCTTACAAACCACCTATTCAACAAGGGACTAGAATCTAGAATATATTTTAAAATAATAACATGGCAATAGTAAAACAAGCAATCCAATAAGAAGCTATACCGACAACATGAAGCTATTTCACAAAAGAGAATATACAGATGGCACATAACATGAAGAGATACTTGGCACCATTAATGCTGGAGAAATACAGATCAAAAGCTCAACAGCATCTCATCACCCATGTAGCAGGATGGCTAAAAATAATGATTTCATGATGTCAAATGTTAGTGAAAAATCAGGGAAACTGGATCATTCATGGCCTGCTAGTGGGCTTGTAAAATGGCAAGGCTACAATGGAGAACAGCTTGGCAGTTTCTTTAAAAACTAAACATGCAACTACCATATGATCCAGCAACTGAGCTTCTGGGCATCTATCCCAGAGAAAAGAAAACTTATGTTCACCCAGAGATCTGCACAAATGCTCCTAGCAGCTTTATTTATAAGAGCCAAAATTGGAATCAGCTCAGATACCCTTTAATAAAGCAAATGCTCAAACAATCCAATCCATACAAACCAAACCATAGAACACTACTTAGTGATGACGAGATGAACTATTTATAGTCGTAACAACTTGGATGACTCTCCAGGAAATTACACTGAGCCAAGGAAACCAAGCTCCGAGGTTGCATACTGTATTATTATACTTATGTGGCAGTTTTCCCCTTTAAGTCATTGATTTGTTGAGACAGGGTTTCACTGGCTCACTGTGTAGCTTAGGATAGCCTGAAACTTGTAGCAATCCTACCTCAGCTTTCCAAGTGTTGGGGTTATAATGGTGGGCCATACAACCTGGGTGAGTTTTTTTCTTTTGAAACAAGGTCTCCCTGTGTAGATCTGAGGAGCTAAGGTCCACCCCCAGAACCCACATTCTAAGCTGGGTATGGTCCTGTAGTAGTGCACCCTTGTAACTCCAGGGTTGGGGTGTAGAGACAGGAAGCACCCTGGGGACTCCAGCCAGCTTAGCTGAATTAGCAAACCCCAGGGCACAGTCAGAAACCCTGGTCTCAAGGTGGGCAGCTGTCCTGAGGAACAGCACTCATGGCTGACCTCTGACCTCCATATATGTATGCACATATGCACACAAATAGGCGCACACAAAAGATAAAATCTGGAGATCTGGAACAAGTTCCAACTAACCTCCAAGTTTCTCCATCTTTTCTTAGCTGTAGAGTCATGCATAGCCTAGAATGAGTGCCTCTGTTGTCAGAGGCAGCCCTGACTCTGAAAACTCATTATCCCCACAGTGACAGGATAATCTATCGACTCCCACTGATTCCAGTTTTACTCTCTCACAACTGTGGGAGCCTGGTGAGAAGGAGTCATTTCCTCTCCCGCCCAGGCAGTTCTGGATATCCTTGCCCTCGAGAAGGTGTCTTTGTCTCTCAACCATTTAGGCTTCTCTTCTGTTGAGATAGCTGACCAGGTGAGTCTAGAGACATGATTCTCAATTAAGAGGCCTTGGGGAGAAAGTCAGTTTCCACTGGGAAGAGGCAAGAATTTACATGTGGGCGAGCTGAGAGTTCTGAGGAAGCTGGACAGTCTCTAGTCAGTAGGATGCTGAGGGAGAAGTCTCTGTGTCACATGGAGCCATGGGAAGAACAGGGACATAGCATGAAGGACTGCAACCAAACGACCTGCTCCATCCATGAGTCTGTGATGCTTCTTGTCTACCTTTAGGAACCAACACTGATATTACAGTTCCCAAGGGTCAGGCAGGTAAAGGCGAGAGTAAACCCATATGGCTCAGAAGGAAGATAAAAATAGAAAAAAAAAAGTTTTTCCCATATCCAAATGTCACAAATGCTTATGTGCTCTAATCCAGAGGAAAGTGTTGCAGTGTCTCGGGAAGGCTGTTAAACAATAGCTGCAACCAGCCAGCTGAAGCTGCTCCTCTCAACCACTAAGAAGTAAAATTTGCACCTTTCCTGGACAGTTCTATTAATTAAGAGAGGCTTAGACTGAGAAAGAACCATGAGACTTGACATTTATTCAAGCCAAGTGCAATACGTACCGATCATGCTGTTTGGTGCATTTGACACTAGATAATGTCTCAAGTCTTCATTTTGATCAGCAGCCAAAACATGTGTCCTATACGTCTGTTCCTGAGCGGTGGGATATTTGCTCTCTGGAAGGCAAACTGTCTGAGGGCTACTGTAAAAATCCAGCAGGAAGGTTCTGGATTGCTTTTGTCCCTGTACTACTGTCTCTGTCTCTCATTTTTCCTCTCTTTCTTTTTGGCTTAGGAATAGATGACATAGCATGGCTGTCTCTGAACTCCTGACCTTCCTGACTTCACCTCCCGAGCGAGCGCTGGGATTGCCGGTATGTGCCACCACACCTGGCTTCATCACACTTTCAAAAGGAAGGAAGGAGGCCGCTGGTGAGCAATCTGGAGCTAGTTTTGGGCCTGGTTTTGTAAGCATCGCCAATAAGTCCTTCCAACTGGAAATGCTAAGAATGCTCAGAAATATGGCAGCCTCCAAGACCCTGCTGTCAGCCTGAGAAAGCAATTCCTGAAAATCCAGATGGCAGATCTAGGCAGACCTGGCAATAGGCTGGGAAGCATGAAGCTGTGGTGGGTGGAGCGCGTTTCTCTGGGCTTTCCTCCTCCCTGTCCTTGTTTGGAAGGCAGACAGAGTACAGACACCACTGTGACCCCTGGGATGCTCTGGGAGAAGACAGAGGAAAATAAATAGGAAAATGTTTCTTCTCCCCTTCTGCTCCTAGCTGAGTAAGAGTCTCCTCTCAGGAGCATTGACTCTTTCAGGCTCCTCTCTCCACATCTTTCTTTTCTGGACTCCAGCAACCATGTTGCTGCCCTGTCCCTTTGCGCTCTTCTGGGATAATAAAGGCCGTTTGCCAGCTTGTTTGTTTGTTGTTCAGTTTTGTTTTGAGGCAGCATCTCATGTATTCTCAAACACACTATAAAACTGAGGAAACCTTTGACTGTATGATCTTCCAGTGTGCTGGAATTATAGGCATGTGCTTTGTTTATTCAGTACTCTGGATAAACGCATAGCTTCACGCTTGCTAGGCAAACACTCTACCGACTGAGCTACGCCCCTAGTCTGTTTTTTCAAGACAGCATCTTGCTACGTAGCTCTGCCTGGCCTAAAGTTTGCTAAACACTCCAGACTGGCCTTGAATTCCTTTGCCTCTTAAGTGCTAAGATTACAAGACATGTACAACCAAAGCCTGACATTTGGATGTTAAACAGTGAGACCAGCTGGATGGTATGGCTCATGGCTGTAATCCTAGAATCCGAGAAGTTGGAGGAGGAGGATTAGTTGGTGTTCTAGGCCAGCCTGGGCTACAGAATGAGACCTTGTTTCAAATCTTATCCTCTCTCCAAAACAAACAAAATCTTGTGATACATCTTTTCCTGAGGCCTCCATACCTACTGTTTTGTAAGCAAATACTCCGAGTTTTCCTATTTTGTGTATGGTTTGTAATGCCATGACTCTGACTGTTGTACGTATTTAAGCCTCTCTTTGTCTGCGGGCATGAAAATGGTGGAGGGCTGGGCCTGCATCTTCCTACTGTGCGCTTGAATCCTGGTTCTGTTATTCTAAGCCATCTATCCTCCCAGTCCTTCCCAGTCCTCCCTAGTCACATATGTGGGCTAGCACCTGGCCACTAAGAGGAGGCTTCCTGTTTGTCCCCAAGTAATAGGACAGACAGAGTTTTGTGGCCTCCAAGAATCTGAAATGAAGGCAAGCTCAGTAAAATGCAAGGTTTTCTTTCTATGTTCTAAAGGCTGTATTCTCCATTGCTACCCACCGTACTTTGGCTTGGAACCTTCTCCCATTTAGAAAAAGTCTGCTCTTCTCTAGCCTTTTGGTAGAGACCTAGTATATCAGGCCCAAGGTCCCAGTCCTGCTGTCCCAGGGTTAGACTATTTCCAGAGGACTGGTTTGTCAGTCTGTCTCTGCAAGGGCTGAGATGGTGATCTTGGGGTCTGCATCCTCAAGAGGCAAGAATGGTCCTTTCCTTCCCACTGCCCTCAGGGATGCCTTGTACCTCACATCTCTGTAGGAACACCGCTGGAGGCGGTGGCTTGGCAGCAAGACGGTATTCTCCAGCACTTTCACTTTTGACTTGACCTCGGTAGTGCCCGTAGAAGCCACTGTTGTGCTAGAAGAAGGCAAGTGGGAATCATGGTAAAGCCTGCTTAAATCTTCACACCGGCCTCCCAGAAACCAGAAACTCCCCCTTCATTTTATGACAGAATAGAATTGAAGAGGAACAATACTCCTGGACTGGAGTTAGCAGAGTTGTCCCCTTCTTTCACTGGGACAAGTGGCCTCAGCATGTTGATCTTTCTGTGCTGTGTGTGTGGAATGGAAAAGGCACCATATAGTCGTACTTCTGTCAGCTACTGTTGAGTGGGGTGGTGCGACCTTGGGAACTTTTTGTTCCTCTCTTCACAATATTAATACTGAATCAAGAGTCCCTGAGAACCAAGAAGCCAATGAATATTTCTTTTGATTGGATTGGCAAGACATGAGCTTTCCCCAAAGAGGCTCTAACCAAGAGAGAACCCAAGTCAGAGACAGGTATTGCAAAACCAAAACAAAACAGAAATAAAAGCTGGGAGGTGGCTTGATCTTGGGAGGTGCACACCTTTAGTTCCAGTACTTGAGAGGCAGAGGTAGGGGTGTTTCTCTGAGTTTGAGGCCAGCCTGGTCTACAAAAATGAGTTCCAGGACAACCAGGACTACACAAAGAAATCCTATCTTGAAAAAAAACAAAACAAAACAAGATAAACAAACAGACATACAAAAATCCAGAAATAAATACTTGTCAATTAGACGTGGTGGCTCATGTAATATAAGCAGTTTGGTGTCTGAGGGTGGGGATGGGGGTGAGGATGGGGGTGGGGGGATACTGCGAATTCAAGGCTATACTGGGCTACATAGAGAGCTAGCTAGGCATGAGCTACAGTGTCAGACTGTCTCAGAAAAAAAAAAAGAGAAGAAAGTGGAAAGAGACATGTTGGAATTAAGACTGGGTTCAGGGGTACTCATACGGGATTAAAGAGGGTAACAGAGAATAAAATGACCAAATATATGTATATGCACATATGAAATGGTCAGAGGATAAGGATGATTGGGAGGGGCACTGGAGAGATGACTTAGCAGTTAAAAGCACTGTCTGTTTTTTCAGAAGATCTGAGTTTGAGTCCTAGCATCCAGATGACAGTTCACAATCATTTATAATTATAGTTCTAGGAAATCTGATATCATCTCATCTTCTGGCTCCCTTGGATACCAGACACACCTATGGTGCACAGACATACGTAGACAAAACACTCATGCATGTAAAATGACAAAATATATTTTAAAAAGAAAGCTCCTATGGAAGGGCTGCTCTGTGTAAATATCATTAGGTGGACACTCCTGAGCAATCATGTCAGGTAACTCCTATGGTCCAGACCTTTTGTGTTGAGTCCTCCTGAAGATCAAAGTCCCCATAATCATAGTCGTTGGCTAGCTCATCAGACTCTGCTGTGGAGCTCTGCACATTTGTACAGAGCCTCTCTGAAGTCAGTAACGACAGGGGCTGGAGTTCTCTCATACAGAGGAATCGGAGAAACAGAGGGAGCTGGCTGGAGGCTGGCCTTCAGCGACAGCAACAGACTCCTTGACATCTCTTTCTACCTCACTGAAGATTTGCACCATAGCTAATCAACCTGTTCCTGTACTGTTTGTAGACACCCCTTGCTCTTTACACAGTTTAATTTAACAATATTTTACTTCAGTAGTATTCACTGTGCTCCAGGCATGGGGATGGGCCCAGAAAATAGACAAAACCACAAAAAATAATTCCCCGATGTTCCCAAACTAGACAGTACTTAGTCTCAAAGTTTTGGCAGAGCCTGGGAGGACCAGTGAAAAACTGGATGCTAGAAGACTAAGAGGTTCAACTGGTTAGGAGGAGAGCAGGAAGCAATGCAGCCTTCAGAGGTATGGAGACCTCCTGGAGGAGGAGAGGGCAGCTAAGACCTCTGCCTGCCTGGATATGGGGTGATACCTCTTTTCATCAGCATGACTCAGAAAGATTTCATGCTGGCCAGAGGGTCAGGATTAACTCTTACCCAGGAGCCTATTAAAGCACCTTGCATCTTTCCAGGAAGGAAGCCAAAAAGGCAAACTTTCCTCTTGTCCTTTTGAAGCTACATCTGAGGAGAGAGAATCTCTGGAGGTCAGCTGTTTGTTGCTTAGTAACACAGGGAGGCTGTGACTGCACAATGCTGCTGTTGGGGCAGCACTCAGCCTGTCATCCTTCTGTCCTTGTTTCTCCGATTCCTCTGTATGAGAGAACTCCAGCCCCTGTCGTTACTGACTTCAGAGAGGCTCTGTACAAATGTGCAGAGCTCCACAGCAGAGTCTGATGAGCTAGCCAACGACACAGTAAAGACCACGTTAGAGACAAATACTGTCTTAATATTGCTAGGGATATAAATTTAGAAAGAATTCTGTGTATTCAGAAGAAATGTCATGGAGTGGTTTGCTCTTAGTAAAAATCACCCTCAAGCCCTGCCTGCTTGATGAAGCGTTTTGTTTGACCAGGAATATCAATTTTTACAGGTGACTGGTAAAAGGGCTTACCTGGAAGAGAAGAAATTGGACATGGTTCAGTTCTGAGCAACTTTGGATCAATTGTACACAGACATGAGCAATTCACCCCTTTCTTTTTTAGGGGGATGTCTTGCTTTTCAATATTTTATTTATTTTATATATTGCCCTGGCCTGCGGGGTCCTCAACAGGGCATCCTAAGAGAAAGGGGGAGAGAATGGAAGGGACAGGAGACCTGAAGAACAGGACCAAGACAAATTTTCTGATCAAGGTCTGTTGAGCTGTATTTTCTCAGGCAATTTATACAGGCAGGGAAGGGGATAATGTGTTTGGGGGAATTTCACAGAAGCTGGGCGTTCTGCCACGGCAGATATCTTGCAGCCCCAATGTTTTTATCTGGCTCATGGCACAGCAACCACTTTTTCCTTAGGGCACAACAACCATTGGCCACCTGCTTTCTCAGGAGTCGATAGCTGAGGAAAAACAAAACCTAAAACTATTCTTTCAAAATGGAGTAAGGTTGGCTACCCGCATCTCCCCCCTTTTTATTTAGTCTGCATGAGGTTGGTGAGAAGGCAGACACCTATGGGTCTCATCGATGAATGATTGGGCATTAACCAGAGGGGGGAAGCATTGACCTGGTTCCTCTAGTGGGGAGCAGAGGATTGTTCTTCCCACATCTTGGCCGGATCTTGGTGTCTTTTGGAGAGGAGGAGCAGAGCCTGTCTTGGTGGGAGATTCCCACAATGAGTGGTCTGAGGACTGACACCAACCCCTATGCAAATCAAGTTTGCTTCCTGGGGGACTCAGAAGCAGACAGTTGTGTCCTTCCCCTACTGTACCTCGTCATGCACCCCTTATAGGTACCCACGCTGTATTCGAGCCATGTCGAATCAGCATGCATAGGTCTGAGTTCTATGCAGCTCTTAAAGGAGCTATGTCATTGCAAGGCTCAACCAAGTCTCTCTCAGCCAGATCAAGACTATGATGATGCACTTGTAGAGGTTAGATGCCAAGGAGTCCATTTGTTGTTTATAAAGCCAGTGAGTCTGTTAAAGGTCCAAGGGCCGAAAGCCAAAAGGAGGAGACTGACTACAAGACCCAGGATGGAAGGGAGAAGGGTCGAGGCAGAGAACCAATTTTTAAGCCACTCCTCCTCTTGTTCTCGATGTTTCTTTTGCCATTCTAATCTCTCTCTGATCTTGGTCATTCTTTGTGGAGGTATCTGTTTGTTTCACTAATCTTTCTGGCAGCCATCTAGCCTCACCTTCTTTGGTATCAAACAGACATATCTATCCTCAGCTCCATATGAGAACTGGGTCTGGTCCATTCCATTTAAAGATAAGAGGGTCTTTCCACATAACTGTGGCATAGTTTTTATTGGTCTCAGGGTGCCAGGGGCAATCAGCAACAGACTTGCCATGAGTGTTCAGATTTAGAAAATTGAGAACCAACAAGGCATGATGGGGAATATTTCTAGGGGACCCCTTCTGGCCACCTGCTTTCTCAGGAGTTGATAACTGAGGAAAAACAAAATCTAAAACTGTTCTTTCAAAATAGAGTAAGGTTGGCTCTCGGCAATATATGAGTACACTGTAGCTGTCTTCAGACACACCAGAAGAGGGCGCTGGATCCCATTACAGATGGTTGTGAGCCATCATGTGGTTGCTGGGAATTGAACTCAGGATCGCGGAGCCATCTCTCCAGCCCCCCACCCCTTTCTTTTTACCCAAAGAAGCTGCCTAGAACTGTTCTGGTGGGAGCTCAGCTACGAAGTCAGGGAGGGAAAAGCTGGGTGAGGTAGGAAGAAAAAGATTTTGTTTTATGTGTATGAGTGCTTGTCTGCGTGTGTGTGTGTGTGTGTGTGTGTGTGTGTGTGTGTGTGTGTGTATGTGTGTGAACCACATGTGTGCATTCCCCATAGCCACCAGAAGAGGATGATGAATTCCCGAATTCCCCTTGGGACTGGAATAGACAGTTGTGAGTGGCCATGTGAGTGCTAGGAACTGGACCTGGGTCCTCAGGAAAAGCAGTCAGTGTGCTTAACTGCCGAGCCAACTCTCCAGCTTCAAATTAAAAGAGAGAAAAATAGATCCTGCTGGTGTCTCTAGCAAGAAGTCTGTCCCAGTGTAACTGGACACGCATGTGAACACAACAGTATAAAAGGATTCATAGTAGCTGTACACATTTACTGTACTCTCCTGGAAATCCTTGAAGCCTGAAATATTTCAGGACTGTTTTCTGATCTTGGAATGGTTCTAGCTACTTTCCTGTTGCTTGTATAAAATACGCTGACAGAAGAGAGAAAGGGTCTATTGTGGCCCCCACTTCATCCCAGCTAGCAAGCCACAGTGAGAGTTTGAGGCCACTGATGATTCTGCATCCAATCAACAAGCAGAAACTAAGGCTGGAGAGATGGCTCTGTGGCCAGGACTGGCTGCTCTTCCAGAGGACCCAGATTCAGTTCCCAGGACCCACACGGAGCTCATAACCGTCTTTAAGTACAGTCTCAGGTAGCCTGATGCCCTCTCCTAGCCTCTGTAGGCTGTGCATGTCTCTGATACACAGACATACAGCGAGGCACTTCTACACATAATATAGAAATATCAAAAATAACTTAAGAATCTGAAAGCAAGCTGGGCAGTGGTGGCACATGCCTTTAATCCCAGCACTTGAGAGGCAGAGGCAGGCAGATTTCTGAGTTCGAGGCCAGCCTGGTCTACAGAGTGAGTTCCAGGACAGCCAGGGCTACACAGAGAAACCCTGTCTCGAAAAACAAAAAAAAAAAAAAAAAAAAAAAAAAGAATCTGAAAGCACATGGGGGGTAGTGACTTAGTAGGTAAAGAAAGGTGCTTGTAGCTAAGTCTGAAGACCAGAGTTCAATCCCAGGGACTGGTGGGTTGTCCTTTAATCTCCACAGAGCAGTATTGCAGCACAGCTCCCTACTCAACACTAAATAAACAATTACACACACACACACACACACACACACACACACACACAGAGAGAGAGAGAGAGAGAGAGAGAGAGAGAGAGAGAGAGAGAGAGAGAGAGAGAGAGAGAGAGCGCTCAAAGGGGGAGGAAGAAGAG